GGGGGGGAGAAGATCTGCTGTTGCAGCCGCTCTCAGGGCAGGAAAGTGGCCAAGCATGAAAGCGCTTCATGGCTTCCTGGCTTCAGGTTCACTGAGTCCCATAAATTCCCATCTTATGGTCGGACAGGCACAGCTAAACACGGGGTGGGGGGTGGGGCCCAACCCATTTGGGTTCATTTAATAAATTCTGGTTCAAAAACGCATCGCTCGGGGCCCCGCCCACCTCAGTAGCCCAGTTTGGAGCTTCTAGTGCAGGAGGCGCTTCGAAGGGAAGCCAGCCGCACAAAGAACCATTGGTCCTCTGCCTGGAGACGCGGGTTCAAGTCTTTCAAAGCCTTGAGTCCCCCTTCAGACTGCAACAGGAGACCATCCACCAGGACCTGTAAGGAGCTGGCACAGGGGCATCGGTGGGAGATGCCCACAACCATGCAATTGTCAATCGGTAGGAAAACGGGGTGGGGAATTTTCCTGCAGACTTTTTGGGGGGATTTTCCCAGGGTCTCTGGTCAGAGGGATTTAAAATTATGAGTTTGGGGGTCCCCGAGATCCAAAAGGTTGGCGACCCCTGGGTAAATCACGAAGGAAGAGGTTCACCGAATATGTAAAGATCCTGGTGTATCACCTCTCAGCGGTTTGCTCCCCCAAATACTGTTTATGCAATCATCCTTACTTACTGAAGTATCTTCTGAGCAAGAAGCGATGATGTTTTCAATGAAAGGGTTCCACTTAATATCAAGCACGTTGCCTTGGTGGCCACAGACTTTGGGGTAGTTTGGTTCAATCCGGCCAGTCTGTAATAAGAACAATCAAATACCCAGGATCATTAAAACCTTACCTTCAATAGGACAGCTTAGTCTTATCAATGGAAAATCAACACGAAGAAGACGGGATGCATTGATTGCAGTTAACTGGTAACTACTTCTGCTTTGCACTCTTACTCAAAGATAGATACATTCTGGAGACCGAATTTATTACATTTAATTAAACAAGAAAGGACGAGAGGATATTAAGAAACAAAGGGAGTTTTTCTCCAACACCATCGCTCCGTTAAACCAATAATTCCCTTGGCACTGTCCAACTATTTACAAAGTCTGCATTACTATTACTATTAATGTTCTCATTGCTCCTTATCACCCATCCCCTCCCACTTGTGACTGTATGACTATAACTTTGTCGCTTGTATCCTAATGATTTATATTGACTGTTTCCTAGTATGATTTGATGGCTTATTGTACCCTATGACTATCATTAAGTGTTGGACTGGATGATTCTTGACTTTGATGAATGTATCTTTTCTTTAATGTACCCTGAGAGCATTTGTACCAAGACAAATTCCTTGTATGTCCAATCACACCTGGCCAATAAAGAATTCTATTCTATTCTATTCTATTCTATTCTATTCTATTCTATTCTATTCTATTCTATTCTATTCTATTCTATTCTA